TGCAGGAGGCGGGATCTTGGCTCACTGCCACCTTCTTTGCCTTCTGAGATTCAAGCGCATTCTCCTGTCTTCAGTCTCCCGGTAGCTGGGATTACAAGGCAATGTAATTTGATTTTCGCAATTTTTAGTAGAGATGTGGTTGCCACCACATTGGGCGGGCGGCCTCAACTCCTGGACTTCAAGTGATCCTCTGCCTCGGCTCCCAATCAGTGCTGGGATTACAAGCAGGAGCCACCGCGCTCAAGGCCAATAGATAAACAAATTCAAGAAAGTGGTTTTGTGCTGGGCGGAAAGTAAGAACAAAGGAACTCCGGCATAAAGGGAGGGTCCAACCCAATGGAAAGACTCATCTGGAAGGTGATTCTTCTGGGGAAAATCTGACCAGGCAAAATATGGCAAAACGGTTAACAATAAAGGCTGGGTGTGAGGTACTTTGTGTTTTATGTCATTACTTTAGTAGACTTTCTGGTGTATTTTGAATTAAATGAAAATTAATTACTGAGAAATATAATGAAGAGACTAAGATCTCGTGATTGGGAATGTGCAGAATTTCTTGTTTTTTTTTTTTTTTTTTTTTGAGGACAGGGGCCTCAGTTTGTCACGCCAGACTGGGCAGTGCAGGTGGCACTATCTTGGCCTCACTACAGCCTTGACCTCCTGGGGCTCAAGTCATCTCCAGTCTCAGCTCCCTTAAGTAGCTCGGACTACAGATTATACACACTGGCGAATTGTTTGTTAGAGACCGGGTTTCACCATGTCGCCCAGGCTGGTCTTGAACTCCTGAGCTCAACAGTGTGCCTGCCTTGGCTCCCAAAGTACTAGTATTAACAGGGGCTGAGAGTCACTGTGCCGCAGCCCACGAACCACCTTTAGAGAAATCTGCTAGAAATGGGGAAGAAATGAATTGCTTAGCTTAGAGACTGTCCTATGGCAGCAAACACAGTTTTTCTTTCTTTCTCCTTTTTTGCTTCCATTTTTTTTTTTTTTTTTTTTTAGATGGAGTCTCGCTCTGTGCCCAGGCTGGAGCTGCAATGTGGCTGGATGCTCAGCTCACTGGCAAAGCTCCAACTCCGCGGTTTACGCCATTCTCCTTCCTCAGCGCCTCCCGAGTAGCTGGGACTACAGATGCCTGCCACCTCGCCCGGCTAGTTTTTGTATTTTTTGAGTAGAGACGGTGTTTTCACGCCGTGTTAGCCAGGATTCGGTCTCGAGCTCTCCCTGACCTCTGCTGATCCGCCCCGTCTCGGCCTCCCAAAGTGCTGGGATTACAGGCTTGAGCCACCGCGCCCAGCCCGCTTCATTTTCAGAATGAAAGATTGTGAAGAGCCTGGTCATAAGCTGATGAAAATGATTTATCAGAGACAAGAAAATTGATCCAGAAGAGATGGGATAAATACAGGGAAAGCTTTGAGAAGCCAAAGAGAAGCTTTAGTGTGGACAAGGAATTTTAGTACCATATGGTCTGTAATAGTAAAATAAACGTACATCAACAGGGAAAGGTTAAACCGTGCACCATTCGTTTTATAAACTACTCTATGCCAGCTAATTAGAATGAGGACAAATCTTCAAGATTTACACTTAAGTGGAAAAAAGTGAGATGATCAATACCACAGTAAAACACTATTTCTATAAGGAAAGATAAAACCAGACATCGTCCGGCCGGGCCCAGTGGCTCAACTAAAAATATGACATTAGCTGGGAGTAGTGGCGCACGCCTATAATCCCAGGTGCTCTGGAGGCTGAGGCAGGAGAATAGCTTGAACCCTGGAGGTGGAGGCTGCAGTGAGCCGAGATCTCACCATTGCGCTCCAGCCAGGGCAACAAGAGGGAAACTCTGTCTCAAAAAAAACCCAAAATACCCAAAAAAAACCAAGATACTAAAAAACCCAGACATCTCTATGCACACATAAGGATGTTTAGGAAGTCACACTAAACTGAACTATCTGGAGAGGGGGTAGGGATGGAGGGAAAGTTCAGAGGAGACATTTGTTGTCTGTATTATTGGATTGTCTTACGCTGAGAATCCTGTCTGTATTAATTGCAGGGGTGGGGGATGTACGAGAAACAAATGAAGTTGCCCGCATTTACTTCTTCTGATTACTGGACTTCACAATACACAGGGAGTGACCACAGCACCACCACGGCTATGTCTTTCATATCCAACTTATTTACATAATTGGTAGCCCGCTAATGTTGACCTCCCCAAATTGACAAATTAGTGGCTGTGAACTGATAGTGTTCTATGCGCCATGTGGTCAACAGCATTTGCTAGCACACGTCAGGCGCCATGCTCACCTGTAGGACCACAGGGTGACAGAGACAGAGTCCCTATCCTTTTATTTCTTTTTTGAGTTGGAGTTTTGCTTTTGTCGCCCAGGCTGGATGGCACGATCTTGGCTCACTGCAACTTCCACCTCCCAGGTTCAAGTGATTCTCCTGCCTCAGCCTCCCGAGAAGCAGGGATTACAGGAACATACCACCACATCGGGCTAATTTTTGTATTTTTAGTAGAAACGAGGTTTCGCCAGGCCAATCGTGGTTTCTCACGCCTGTAATCCCAGTACTTTGGGAGACCAAGGTGGATGGTCACGAGGTCAGGAGTTCAAGACCAGCCTGGTCAAGATAGTCAAAAATTAGCCGGGTGTGGTGGTACGTGCCTGTAATCTTAGCTACTCAGGAGGCTGAGGCAGAAGAATCACTTGAACCCGGGAGGCAGAGGTTGCAGTGAGCTAAGATCACACCACTGCACTCCAGCCTGGGTGAGAGCAAGATTCTGTCTAAAAAATAAAAAAAAGAAAAGAGAAAGAAAAAAAGAAACGGGGTTTCAACATGTTGGCCATGCTGGTCTCGAACTCCTGACCTCAGGTGATTCTCCTGCCTTGCTCTCCCAAAGTGCTGTGATTACAGGTGTGAGTCACTGCTCCCAGCCTAGTCCCTAACCTTTAAGAGGCAGTGTCTGTCTAGCAGATGAGATTGTCCAGGAAAAAAATTCTAAAATACCCACAGTGCACTATCCAGTAATCATCATAGCCGATATTTACCTAAATGAGTAAACCTGCCCACAGATGTTTGTACCAGGTTTATTCATAATTGCCAAAACTTGGAAGCAACCAAGATGTCCTTCAATAGTGAATGGATAAAAATAGTGACTCATCCAATCAATAGATTATTAAGCCCTGAAGTGACATGGAGGATCCCTAAATGTATGTTATGGTACAAGCTAAACGAAGTCAATGTGAAAAGATGACATCCTGTGAGACAATCTGGAAAAGGCAAGACTGCAGGCACAGCAGAAAGCCCAGTGGCTGCCAGGGATTGGGGGGACAGTGGGATGAATAGGCAGAGCTGAGAGGCTTTCTAGGAAGTGAAACTACTCTGCATGATGCTATAATGGTGGAAACGTCATTATCCATTTGTCAAAACCCATAGAATGGGCCCAGCGTGGTGGCTCATGCCTATAACCTTAGCACTTTGGGAGGCCGAGGCAGGAGGATCACCTGAAGTCAGGAGTTCAAGACCAGCCTGGAGCCAGCATGGTGAAACCACGTCTCTGCTAAAAATAAAGCATTAGCCAGGCATGGTGGTGTGCGCCTATAATCCCAGCTGAAACTCCACTAAAAAAAAAAAAAAGAAAAGAAATATTTTACAAGTGTTACATGCCTCTATGAGTTTCATAGTTAGATAAAAGGGAATATGACATCTTTACTGGTGAGAGCTAGTTTAATTCAGCAACGGCCGCTGCCCACCGTGAGGACAGGCACGGGCTGGCAATGCCCTGAGGCTCCTGCTCATGCGCACTGTGGGCCTCCCCTTCCAGGGCAGGGGCCAAATGTTTTGTAGAGATAGGGTTTTGCCATGTTGTCCAGGTTGGTCTCGAACCCCTGGGCTGAAATGATCCTCCCGCCTTGGCCTCCCAAAGTGTTGGAGTTACAGGCAGGAGTCACTGCTCCCACCAAGAATTTTCTTTCTTTAAATTCCTGGTTGAATAAGGACTTGTTTATTTTGAGGAAAAAAGGTCCCAAACATCAAGGTGTTCACAAAAATAACCCACAGTATCAACTTTAGAAAACAAGTTTTAAGATTATAACACTAATTATTTTCCTGAGGATGCATTTGACATGCCAAGTCTCATTCACAAAAATATATCGTTAGATTTTTGTTGAAGTGCCCCACACAGCACACTAACGTGGGGGTGTAACACACATAATTCTAACTCCAAGCTGCTTTCAGGAGCTGCTCAACTCCATGAGATTGCCTTTGCAGTTAGGGAAGCAACTACTGAACTTACGTATGAATGAAAAGAATTGTATTCCCTACAAAAAAAAAGAGATTATTTTGGAGACAGTTGATAACCATACATCCTTTTTACTGTTTTACTGTTAAGTTACTGTTAAGTTACAAAGAGGCATCTAAATTACAAGAAAATATTGCAGGGTAAGACTTAAGAAAACTACTAGGAGCATCAAGGGAAGTGAAAATGGGACTAGGTGCAGGGCAAAAAAAAAAATGAATTAATGAATATGGGAAGGACAAGGATGAGGAGAACAGTAAGCATGTGCTGAAGATATAGGTAAACAAATAATGGGATAAGATTTCTAAACCCCACTATGTGCTTCAGAGTCATCCTGGCCATTGGCGCCGTCTCTGTTACCCTCTCCTTCCTCAGCCTCTTTTTCATCATCCTTGATCAACTCCAGCTGCTCATCCGCCCGATCTTCATTATCAGCATCGTCCAGTAGGGGCCGCTCGTCAGCAGCGCCATCTGCGCCCCCCTCAGACTCCAGCTTCACGTGAGCCTCCCCTTTCTTCACCGAGCTGCTGCTCTGCTCCTCTTCTGACATAGCGTTCTTCACCTCTACTCCTTCTTTGCTCTGTTCCTTTTCAATGTTTTCCAGGTTTTGCAGGAGAGAAGCCACTTTCTCTTTTATCTGGGTCAACTCCTGCTTGATGGCCTGAAGGTCATCTCCTTTCAACTTCCCAGACTTGTGAGATCCCCTCTGTCCACTCTTGGAACTGAAGCCACTTGTGCGCCTTCCTGAGGTGCTTCCTGATACGCGCGGACGTTTCGAGGGCCCTCCAGCCAGAGCAACAGGAGGAGGAGGAGGAGGGATCTGTGCTGGGAAACTGTACATCCGACCGTAATAATCCCGTTGAAAGTCATAGTCCGAGTCAAAAGAGGAGCCGGACATCTCCGCTGCTGATCGTTTCCCGCCTGCTTTTCGCTGGTTCGCTTTTGGCTCCGCAGCCAGGTTAATGTCCACAACCTGGCCGGCGACCATTCTGCCGTCCTCTCCCGCCACAGCGGCGCGGGCGTTTTTCTCCTTAGCGTATTGAACGAAGGCAAAGCCCTTATGAACGGAGCAGCCCGCGACTCTGCCATACTTGGAAAAGATGGCCTCCACATCAGATTTCTTGACGACGAGAGTGTTGAGATTCCCAATGAACACACGGGAGTTCACGGAGTGAGGATCTGTCTTGTTGGTAACGTTGCTGGCCATTGTGGTTGATGAGAAGGTTTCTCAAAAAGCCAAAACAGGAGGCAAGAGGGAGAAGAGCTTCGATTTTAAGTCTCCTACTCCCGGGTTCTACGTGGAGAAGCCAACTTCGGCTCGACGTCGGAAATGTGGCCACAACCCCTCAGTCTTCGTCTCTTCACAAAACGGCCCCCAACGAGAATTCTGAAACGACATAAAAAAGGCACAATCACAATTTTTGAAATAAAGACAAAATTGCATTTAGAGGAAAAAATATCAAAACTTCAAACTGTTCATATGAAAAAAAGAAAAGAGACAGGGTATAGATAGCTCTGTGCCATCACAGGCTGCACTATCACCATCCCAGACCGGCTGACTGTAGGTCAGATGGGAGTGTCCTTACAGAAGTTAGGAACTTACCAGATCCGGATGTAGTTTAGAAGGTGCTCAGACCTCAGGAAGAACCAAGCAGTAACTCCAGGCTTGAAGACTTTGGGTTTCTCCTCTGGGTCTTTAGAAGCTTTTATTGACCTTTCTAATCACAACTCCCACCCACGCCTCTCCACTTATCCACTGCTAGCTTCCAATCAAAAAGTGATATCTGATTGCGTTTCTGAAGTTCCACCCAGTTAATCCTGATTGGGTTTTTGGCTCTCGCAGATTAATAGATTGAACCGGATATCCATTCTTATCACATATCCATATTCATTTCATGAATCAAGAAATTGACAGTGTTAGGGATAGAGTGGAAGTCAAGAATTCATTCCTTCAAGGCTAGGCGAAGTGGCTCACGCCTGTAACCCCAGCACTTGGGGAGGCCAAGTCGGGTGGATCACCTGAGTTCAGGAGTTCAAGACCAGCCTGGCCCACATGGTGAAACTCTGTCTCCACAAAACACACACACACACACACACAAAACAAAAAACCTTTGAGGACAAAACCTTGTTCACTCATGGTCTATATTTAATGTACTTCCACTAGAAGTGAGAAATTCTCATGGTTTGCATAATATTTTAAAATTATCAATCACTCCAAAGGTATATCTACTATTTGTAAAAGTATTAACTACTTTGTCTTTGACTATATGACAAGCTGTAGTAGGGGTGTATATTACTGTAAATTGTTCTGATATAAACTCTAAAATAAACACAAAAGTATTAACCAACTTTTAAAACAGGATAAATAGGTCGGGTGCGGTGGCTCGTGTCTGTAATCCAGCACTCTGGGAGGCCAAGGCGGGCAGATCACGAAGTCAGAAGACGGAGAACATCTTGACCAACATAGTGAAACCCCATCGCTACTAAAAATGTAAAAATTAGCCAGGCATGGTGGCACAGGCCTGTAATCTTAGCTACTCAGGAGGCTGAGACAGGAGAATCACTTGAACTAGGGGGTCGGAGGTTGCAGTGAGCTGAGATCTCCTCACTGCACTGCAGCCGGGGCAATAGAGTGAGACTCTGTCTCAAAAAAAAAAAAAATGGCTAGGTGTGGTGGTGGCTCACTCCTGTAATCCCAGCACTCTTTGGGAGGCCAAGGCAAGTAGGTCACAACGTCAAAAAATCGAGACCATCCTAGCCAACATGGTGAAACCCCGTCTCTACTAAAAATACGAAAATTAGCTGGGCATGGTGGCGCCCACCCATAGTCCTAGCTATTCAAGAGGCTGAGGCAGGAGAATCGCTTGAACCCAGGAGGAGGAGGTTGCAGTGAGCCAAGATTGCGTCACTGCACTCCAACCTGGTGACAGAGCGAGACACCGTCTCAAAACAAACAAGCAAACAAGAAACAAACAAACAAAAAAAGGTGGAAAAATAAATTCTCAATTTCTATCTCTATAAATTCATCTTCAGAAGTGATAGCATTTCCTGCTTGACATTCTTCTCCTACATTTTTGGCGTAAGATCTATCAACAAAAAGTATGAACCCAGGTTTGTGTAATGGAATATCTTAAACATCAATAGGAGGAGTCAGTAGTTCGGATGCCACACACACACGTATGGTCTTCTCCATCATCAGTAAACGGCTGCAAAGTGGCAGAGTTATGCAGAGTATAGCATTTGAAATGGAGATTTGAAGGTGACAAGAAAAGGAATTTGTAAGACATCAGTCTACAAGTTGAAAAATGTTGGTTCACGTCACAATGCTTTATTCATTCATTTTATTTATTTGTTTATTTATTTTTTGAGACCGAGTCTCACTCTGTCACCAGGCTGGAGTGCAATGAATAAAAATTATTTATTCATTCATTTTATTTATTTGTTTATTTATTTTTTGAGACCGAGTCTCACTCTGTCACCAGGCTGGAGTGCAATGGCATGATCTCGGCTCACTGCAACCTCTGCCTCCCAGGTTCAAACGATTTTCCTGCCTTAGCCTCCTGAATAGCTGGGACTACAGGTGCATGCCACTACACCCGGCTATTTTTTTGTATTTTTGGTAAAGACAGGGTTTCACCGTGTTAGCTAGGATGATCTCGATCCCCTGACCTCGTGATCTGCCCACCTTGGCCTCCCAAAGTGCTGGGATTACAGGCGTGAGCCACCATGCCTGGCCTGTTCGCATCAAAATTTAATAGGTATTCAATTGCATATGAAACTTGTAGGTAAAGTTTATTTCTTTTTTCTTGAAAGCCTTTATTTGTTTATTTATTTATTTGTAATGTATTTGTTTATTAATTTTTTTTTTTTTGAGATGGAGTTTCATTCTTGTTTTCCAGGCTGGAGTGCAATGGCACGATCTCGGGTCACTGCAACCTCTGCCTCCTGGCTTAAGTGATTCTCCTGCCTCAGTCTCCCAGTTAGCTGCAATTACAGGCACAGGCCACCACACACAGCTAATTTTTGTATTTTTAGTAGAGAGAGAGTTTCACCATGTTGCCCAGGCTGGTCTGGAACTCCTGACCACAGATGATCCACCCACCTCGGCCTCTGAAAGTGCTGGGATTACAGGCGCGAACCACCGTGCCCAGCCTACACTCATCACTTTTAATACCTTCTACATCACATGAGGAAGAAAAGCAGAAACATTTGAGTGCTTCACGAAGGTCAAGGTTGGTATAAGTTTGGGTTCCAATATGATGAATTTCTGCTTCTAGGGAACCAAGCAGTTTAGGTAAAGGAAGGTCAGGAAACTCCAGGGTTTTCTCTCCCTCCAAAGAAAGCTTTACGCATCACCTTAACTTAGAAAGCAAATCTCATCCCCGCGTTGTCACTTAGTAAAAAGGCACACTTTCCTAAAAATGGTCCAAATGTCATTTGGACTGCTTCAAACACAGGAATTTTCTGAACTTCATGTGAAACCCCTCCTCAGAAATATTTTCCTGACTCCAAGGGATTTGCTGATATATTGGCTTGGGGCGTTAACTGGATATGGCAGCCCTGGTATCCACCAACTCTGTACCTAAGTCTGCAATGATCTGGATCTCAGCTTCTCCACTTTTACTTGAGGATATTATAGAAAATAATTTACCAGAGAATTAGTTGAAGTTCCATCAATATGGAGCCATCAGAAATGTCCTGAATCCAGGTGCGGTGGCTCATGCCTATAATCCAATCACTTTGGGAGGCCGAAGTAGGGGGATAACCTGAGGTTGGGTGTTCAAGACCAACCTGACCAACATGGAGAAACCCTGTCTCTACTAAAAATACAAAATTTGCAGACCACAGTGTCACATGCCTGTAATGCCAGCTACTTGGGAGGCTGAGACAGGAGAATCACTTGAACCCAGGAGGTGGAGGTTGCAATGAACTGAGATCGTGCCATTGCACTCTAGCCTGGGCAACAAGATTGAAACACCATCTCAAAAAATAAAAATTTTTTTAAAAAGTCCTCTAATGCAAACAATGTCTGGGCCAAAAGGGTTAGGTCCAATAGAGACCTGGTGCAAATTTAGACAATTTTCATTCCAATGGCCTGTTTCAAAGGTGACAGGCAACTTGAGAAGGGTTTCCCTGTTTACGACCAACTGAATTTGAGTTTTAATAGTGAGGGGAGCTCCCCTTGCTCTTATCCCTTCAGCTGTTTTAGCTGCAAACACTTTATTATCCTTTGCATTCTTTTTTTCAGCATTGGATACTTTTATGTTCTAGAACTCTCTTAAAATGTTCACCTATGGTGACCAATTCAGCCATATCAGTAACTTTTTTTTTTTTTTTTGGAGGCAGAGTCTCCCCCTATTGCCCAGGCTAGAGTGCAGTAGCATGATCTTGGCTCACTGCAACCTCTGCCTCCTGAGT